TTGCCATGCCTTCCTCCAGGGGATCTCCCAGACCCAGGAATTGAACTTTTATCTACTGTGTCTCCTGCGTTGCAGGCAGATTCTTTACCCGCTCAGCCATCAGGGAAGCCATGAACACTCCTTAAAATCCAGTGCAGTTTTCTGAACCCCATTTTGTGTGGATCTAGCATTTCCAGTGGACAGAGCAGAGGAGCTGTTCTGAAGACCCACATCTAACCTCAGGGTTCAGGTATCAGCCTGCTGATTTGTTTCTCTCACAGATGTCTTTTGAGCTTGTTGTGTGTGACATAGGCTGGCCTGGGCACTGTGGGAAAGGAAAAGATGAAACTCCCCTTTTTTGTGGAACTTGCATTTTAGAATCTTAAACTTACATGATAGTAAGTTAAGCAGCTGACCAGAGAACAGCTCTGGTGCTGAGAGGATGCAGGCATGAGTGGGTGTGGATGTGAGTGGGGGTCGAGGAAGACATGGCACATGGCGTGGTTTCTAGTGAATCGGGCAGCCCCTGACGTGAGACCAAGGAACTTCCAACCCACTGTTGGCGCCCCCCTGCCTAACGGGGACAGTAATGGGACCAGGACATCACAGCTGGAAGGCAGGGCCCCTGACTTTGAGGGGCCCTCAGAGCCGTGGGGAGCTGGGCATACCCAGGACTGACGCCGTGGGTGGCCCAGGAGCTGGGGGTGGACGATCGGACAAAGGGAGGCATGAAAAGGCAGGGAGGCCTGCAGGAGGCCTGGCCTGTGCCCCAGCAGCGAGGGGCCTGGCACAGCTGAGAGCAGAGTGGCGGGGGTGGGGCGTGGAGACTGGTTGAGCCGCACGGCAAATGGGGGCAGTGCCAGGGCTGGAGCGCGGGGTCCCTGACTCGGAGCCCAGCACTCGGCTCTGTATACCACAGCCTGGGTTGTGTGGCTGGGGGTTGGGCTCGGGGAAGCAGGAAGACACACGCCAGAGTCTGCTTTGTAAACCTCGGGCCACCAAATGGGGCTGTCACATGGCTGAGAAGAACGGTGATGAGGGGCCCTGATGACAGGGATGAAGGCAGGGGTGTAGCTTCAGAATACAATTGGTGGTCAGGTTGGCAGGACCTGATGCTACTGCTGGAATGTGGAGGAAGCGGAGGGAAGTGAGAAGGCTGACTCCAGCCTGAGCACCAGGGGACAACCTGGAGGTGCCTAGACGTCCCATGGGACCAGGTCTGTGCTTGTGTCCACATCCTCAGCTGGTTCCACACCTTCCCCACCTGACTGGCCTCTCCCGTTCCTGCCGAACCTCAGAGACCCAGCTCCAGCCTCGCCGACTTGGCCAGGAGAAGGCCAGAGCCCTTCCTGAGACCCTCCAACCTGTCTCTCTAGCCACTGGTCCTGGTTTCACGCTGCTGCGGCGGGCTCTTGGCCCCAGGTTCTTCATCCATGTGCACACATCCAGCAGTTGTTTCACTGAGCACAAGACCAGGTCTCACCACTCTGGGGCCAGAACTAAGGATCTACAGTGGAAGGCAAAGGCATGAGTGAAAAATGGGCTAGAGCAAGGGGAGCAGATAGCAGGTCTCGTCCCAAGCAAGAGTGGTGCTGCCTCAAGTCCTGCGCAGGGGGTTCTGGGGCTGCATCCAGGCTTTTCTGCAGAGGATGGCGGTCCATTAGTGATACCTGGCATGGCCACGGGAAAGGTGTGGCCACATATGGGCAATTTACAGGTGCACTCTCGATGACGTGATCTATACTGTTTGGACAGCCTGTAGCTACTCTCAGGAGAAATCAAAGGTGATGTTCAGGTGTCTGGAATGGCTGAGGGGACAGACAGACTGGGAGGGCCTTTTAGGAGAGCTGGGTCAGCACTGCGTCTCACCTCTCATGGCACTCTCCACTTGCGTCCATTACGTAATGATGCCCCTGAACCACCTTTTGTACCCTGACTCTGGGCTCTCAAACTTTGGCTTACAAAAGGGATTGTTCTAGCCAACGCCTGCCAGCCAGCGGTTTCCTTTGGCAGCCTGACTCATTGTCCACACTGTGGTCTTTGGGCACTGTACCTGAATGTTTTATTTCCCTTATGGTTTTGCAAAATGAATGTTGAAGAGGAGGGTGTGGGTACCAGTGGAGGGAGTCGAGTTCTCCTAAATGTTGTGTGGAAGCGGAGCACCCATTTAGGACTCTGAACATTGGAGTTGCTTCAGAATGATGATTGGCCACTTCATAGCTCGTGCCCCTGTGCTGACTGTCCGCTCTTCCTGCTTCCAGGACACTCCAGAGGTACGTGTGGCCAGCTTACAAGTGACACCTCATGACACACCATTGGCCCAGTCCACTCACTACAGACCAGGCGGGGCATAAGCAGAATGTCAAGTCACACCAAGATGGTCCCGCAAATTGAAGGACAAATGTCTATGATTTTCCTTTGTTCTTACGTTTCACATAGTAACACTTTTTTCCCCCTGATTTAGTGAGCATTGAGAATTAAGCTCCAGAAATATCATTAGTCAGGCCCTAGGCATTCTGGATAATTAATCTCCCACCATATAGCAGAAACAGAAGTGGGAATTATACAATGAAAGCAATAGAGTTTAGCCTCCCCAGCTTCCTAGACAGAAGCTAGTTGACTAGGGGGCTTTCATTTTGAAGGCAGGAGAATCAAACATTTATCTGAAATGCTGAAGATCTATGATAGACAGATTGTGCTAAGAGAGGTGGAGATTATATAGCACTCTTGCTCTCTGAGCAGGAACCTGGTCTCTAATTTCTTATTATTATTGTTATTATTATGTATGTAATATGTATACAACCCTATGAACTGTAGCCCACCTGGCTCCTCTGTCCAGGGGATTCTCCAGGCAAGAATACTGAAGTGGGTTGCCATTCCCTTCTCCAGGGGATCTTTCCGACCCAAGGATCAAACCTGCGTCTCCTGCATTGGAAGGCAGATTCTTTACCCCTAGTGCAACCTGGGATGTTTTATTATACTACTAATAATGACTGCTGGTCTCTCATTATATATTTAACTTGCTTTTACCTTCTCTGGATTACAGTTTGTGATGGCAAGAGATGGTTTGTGTTGATTACATGACGTGTGGATTGAATACGGATGCCAAAATCTGTGGGGCAGGACTGTGGGCGGCCTGAGGGTGGCATGGTCACCGCAGGTTGGGGACAGTGTCTAGATGAGGTTATCCAACCTTCCAGGTTGTGTCAATGGTGGGACCCGTTGACACCACCCCCAGATGGTTCTTATTTTTTTATTTTTGAGGGCTGAGTTAAAATTACCAACCAAATGACTCGACTTCTCTGAGAGTCACATCTCTAAAGATGGGGGAGATAACACTGAATTCGCATTGCTGTCATGAGAGTCACATACACAGCCCAGTGGTTGATCACATGACCTTGAAGTCATGACCTTTACCATAGGCCTCCTTCTAAATTCACATCAGTCATTCCTTAGCTGGGCCATCCTGAGTTAGCATCTAGGATGCTAGATACCTTCTTCATATCTAATAAGAGGATAGTCATCACTGTCTGAAGAATGAATGACTGGCATGTGGAAGTGGTGAATAAACATAGCCATTTCTATCGTCCTGTGTAAAGTGTCCATGTGCAGTAGGATTTTACTTGTTCCTTCTTCCTTTTCTCCACGTTTCCTGTGTCCTGAAACTCTTCTTCATCCTTTATGGGTCAACAGCTGGATCACCTCCTTAGAGAAGCCCTCCCTGACTGTCCCTGAGGTTAGCTACTCGCTTCTCTGTGCTTCACCATCCTCTGTGTTCCCCTAGTTATGCAGTGGCTTCTTTATCTACTACATACATGTCTGTCTTTTTTTTTTTTACCAGTGGGGAAGACTCTTGAACAGAAACCCTCATCCTTTAACCACCCCCCACTTTATCGAGGAGTCTAGCTCAGTGCTCTGTTCATAGGAGTGTTGCAGGCGGGTGTGAGTGAGTAGGGGGATGAGTAAGTAAATACTGTAAATAAATGAGTGGAGTGAAGGCCTGAGCCGCTGGTAGAAGAAACCCTACCTTGCAAAGGGGTGAGAGGCTCCAGAGTGATGGAGGGATTAAGATCATACGTAGGTCCTTTACCTGAGGAATCGGGGCCTCTGGGCCATCCAAAAGCTGGTGCGCATGATCTGTGAACGGAGAGGGGGAGCCTGTCCACAGTTGTCAGGAGAGTCTCAGAAGTGTCTGCGGCCCCCAGAGGTTAACAAGTTGCTGCTCTAAATAGAGGAGCCAAGTGACTGGAGGCGAAGATGTGTGGGAGGACGACTGCGACCAGGAGCGGTCACTGAGTGCGGAGGGAACCCCGGGTGGACAGGAACCCCCGCGACCCGTCATGTTGTGGCCATCTCCTCCTACGCTGCCCCTGCTCAGGGACGCGTGGGGAAGAGTCTGTCTCTTTCCTGCCCCGATTCTTGCACAGCATCCTTGGGCTGCAGGGGCCAGTCAGGTTCATCAGTCCCCTCCTTCCAGGCAGACCGTGCCGGACTGATTCCAGGAAAACAGCGCCCTCAGCAGCTCCCCAGCCTCCTCTCCCCTTCCCGTTCCCTTCTCTGCTTTGTCCTGTCTTTGGCTATGAAAACTTGATTTTCTGTTAAGAGCAGTGATTTTCAAAAACGTGGGTCTTGACCCGTTGGTAAAGTGTGACGTGAATTTAAAGGATCATGACCTTTTTTTTTTTTTTCAAATGGAACCATCTGATAAAAAGTCTTAGAGTCCATCACACATGCGAGATGAGCATAAGTCTGCTAAACTTCCTGTCTTGGCTCTGTGTGTGTATGGGTTGTGGTATCGTATGTATTTCTTTCTTCGGTGCCAGTCAGAAGAAGATTGGAGAGGACCACTGATACAACACCGCCCATGGACTCTCAGGAGATGCTCACTGCAAGATCTGGCCTTGAGGGGAGAACACGTGTGTTAGGGCTCTTGCTGCTGGCAAGAAGGTGGTGGAGGGGGGAGCTGCTGCATTGCCCATCACCATCACCCCTTCTTGACCCTTGCCCTCCTCTCCTGGCAGGTGGTGTATGTCACCGCGACGTTCCCCTATGTCATGCTGCTGATCCTCCTGATCCGAGGGGTCACGTTGCCTGGGGCCTCCGAAGGCGTCAAGTTCTACCTGTACCCCGACCTCTCCCGGCTCTCCGACCCACAGGTAAGAGTCACTGGCTCTGTGCACAGCCAGCCACCACCTCCACGGAGGCTTCTCCATGGAGGCTCAGTGGCCCCGTCGAGTAGTTGGAAGGTCTGTGGCCTCCTTCTCAGAATCATACTTCTCAATGCATAAAACAGGGAGTCAGATATATTGAAATACAATCACCAAAACATGAGAAAAGACAGATTTTGTGACACAGTCATGTAGCAAGTGACTTAGCACAGCACAGTGTAGCAAGATCCAGCATATGATGAATAGTTTCCATGATTTCAAAGCAATGATGAGCATAAATGGTATTTGGAAGTATCTATACCATGATATGAAAATATCTGGGGTTTCAACTGCTAACAGGGTTTCCCTAGCGGCTCAGACAATAGAGAATCCGCCTATAATCCAGGAGACCCAGGTACATTCCCTAGGTCAGGAAAATCTCCAGGAGAAGGGCATGGCAACCCACTCCAGTATTCTTGCCTGGAGGATTCCATGGACAGAGGAGCCTGGCAGGCTGCAGTCTTTGGGGTTTCAGAGAGTTGGACACTGCTGAGCGACTAAGCACATGTATGCATACTGCTGCTTGGACTGTGGTCTACTGCCTGCATTCATAATTGAAGGAATTGCTCAGTTAGAGGCCAGTAAAAATAAAAACACACTTTTTTTCCCCCACCTGAGAACACAGATCTCTGTAGCCGTGGTTCTCTGAGAGAAACTGGGTCTTGGCGATTTTCTTTGCGGGGGGTTTGCTCACAGAAAGAAAATAAGGGGTGACCTGGCCAAGCTGTTAGTTGTCTTTGGAAAGGCATCAGCCATTCTTAATCCTGGGTGGGACTGTTTATGCTGAAGCATCTCCAGGTGGGCAGGGGTGGTGTGTGTGCCTGAGGGTGTTAGACAAGAGATGAAGACAGCATCTTAGGGGATCAAGTCTTTCCAACCCCCACCACTTGTTAGAAAGCCCTGGGGAGCTTTAGAAAATCCCGATACCCAGAGCACAACCCAGACCAATGAAAGCAAATGCTCTGGGGGCGGGTCCCAGGGCTCAGTGCTATTTGAGGGCCCCCTGGTAGCTCCAACATGTGAAATAACATACTCACAGATATCCCAGTGGGTGAGAAGGTGCTCGTTTTTCTGTGAAAACAAACACAGATTACAGAGTGGAGTGTAGAATCTGTGTTCAGCTGATCACAAAACTTGCAAGAGATGTGTCGAATGAAAAATATAATCACAACCAGAAAGTAGAGTTACTTTATTTGGTGGGAATTTTTAGGACTCCAAGCCTGGGAAGACAGCATCTCAGTAGCTCTGAGAAAACTGCTCCAAGGAGACAGGAGGGGAAGTCAAGCTATATACAAGTTTGCAACAAAGGGAGCAGGCGGTCTGAACAGTGAAGATCAGATATCAAGTTAAAGAATTTCCCATTCTATATATGGGAAGATGCAGGCTTCTGGGCTCACTGAATTCATTCCTTTCCTGTGGACCTCAGCTGTCTAGGGACAATCCTATCTCCTCGTTCACCTTCTTGCATTCCCCCAGTGCCTTAGCCGTCACCTTGGGGGTGGCAGCATCTGCTGGGTTGCAGTTTAGGGAGCCCTCATTCACATTTGGAGGCGGGAAATCGCTGATGGCTGTGATATTTCTTGTTTGTTAATATGGCAGGAGATATTCTCATTCACAGATATCACGTCTATTGTCTCGGCTGAGGCTGCCTCCTGTTAGGGAGGTGGGGGTGGGAACATTTGAGGAGGCCTGGTTTGTGCAGCTCAGGTATAGCTCATTATGGTGGATTAAAGCGGATGGCGGCACTAGCGTGTGTGTTCATTTCTGTCTCAGTTTGCCACACCGTGAGGGCCCCGAGGCTCAGACCCCACCAGGCTGCTGACAGCAGCCACCTGAGTTGAAGGCAGAATCCCTAGGAAGAAGGAAATGAGCTCCTGACGGTTGGCCTCTCCAACTCCAACCTCTGATGCCAAGGGCTCAGTTGAAGAAGCAGTTTTGGAAAACACATTTCCGAAATCACCGTTCTGTGTATTTTTATTAAGTCCACGAATTTTGCCTTGATCCAGGACGGCCATCCTGTTCTCTCCTCTGCTCATTGGCTTCCTTCTCCTGGTCCTCAGGGTCAGCTGGTCCCAAGCATCTCCCAGAGCTTCCAAACCTGGCTGATCCCCAAGATACTTTGGCACATGTTGAGATGCATTGTTGGGGGGCTGAGATGGCATGTGGGCGTCTATATTATTAAGAGACTCCAATGACCACCCTGATGATCAGAAAAGTTTGTGAAAACCCTACTGTGGTACCTACAGTCTTAATGTTGTTCAGTTGCTAAGTTGTCTCCAACTCTCTGCAACCCCACGGGCTGCAGCACGCCAGACTTCCCTGTCCTTCACTGTCTCCCAGAGTTTACTCAGACTCAGGTCCTTTGAATTGGTGCTGCCATCCAACCATCTCACCCTCTGTTGCCCCCTTCTCCTCCTGCCCCCAGTCTTTCCCAGCCTTGGAGCCCTGCACAGAGACACACGTGCACACAGACACATGCATGCCTATGAGCAGAAGAACCAAGGTGAGGCCAGGCAGTTCCCCATTCAGACCATCTGCACCAATCATTCCCGTTACCTACCAGCTCTTCCCTTTAATAAAGCATCTGGGTCCCTGGCCAGCACTCACCTGCAAGGCTCTTCTGTGGAGCGTGGCCACTTGGAGTGATGGAGCTGGGAGTCGGGCTTTGGGTTCTTCCTCTGGTCCTGAGTGACCTTGGACAAGTTCCTTCTCTCTATCTCCTTCTGGGCCTCAGTTCCCCACAGATGACATGAAAGGGTGAATTCACTGAATGGTTTTCAAAATAGACTTGGAGAGCCCTGAGTTTTCCATGAGTGTGGGTTGGCAAACTATGACCTTCTGGCCAAATTCAGCCCTCTGCACGTTTATATAAATAAGATCTTACTGGAGCACTGGCCATGGTATTATTATTTTTTTACATACTGTCTGTGGCTCTCCAAAGGCATGAGTCAAAGATAGAACTGAATAGTAGAGCCAGAAACTATGTGACCCCATTTATCAAGGGTTCCAAGACCTCCCACCCTTATCATCCTACATTCAGTAGAAAGGGGTTAGCAAGACATAGAAGCTCCTGGTACACAGTAGCTCAATAAATATTTGCTGAATGAATGTAAGAGGGAGAGCTATATTGGCTTTTAAAGAAATGTTTTGTTGCTTTAGCAAGAAGTCTAAAAACCTCCAGCTTACCAGATCTGTGAGCTGTAATAATTTTTGTTTCTCTGTCAGTAACAGCCAAGACATGGATATGTTTGTTATTTGTTGTGTTGTTGTTCAATCACTAAGTCACGTCCGACTCTTTGTGACCCTATGGACTGCAGCATGCCAGGTTTCCCTGTCCTGTACTATCTCCTGGAGTTTGCTCAAAGTCATGGCCGTCGAGTTGGTATGCCATCCAATCCTCTGTCGTCCCCTTCTCCTCCCACCTTCAATCTTTCCCAGCATCAGAGTCTTTGCCAGTGAGTCAGCTCTTCGCATCAGGTAGCAAAAGTATTGGAGCTTCAGCGTCAGTCCTTCCGACGAATCTTCGGGGTTGATTTCCTTTGGGATGGACAGGTTTGATCTCCTTGCAGTCCACGGGACTCTGGAGAGTCTTCTCCAGCACCACCATGCATGTAGCTCCACCAAAAAGCAGTAGTCATAGCTGATTGTCTCGTGCATAGATGAGGATAGTGACCCCAAAGGGAAAGGCGAACAGCACTCCATGTAGCTAGTGTTTTTGAATACTAGCTGGGTGTGTTGCGGGAAGGGCTCAGCGTGGATGGAAAGGGAGATGGGAGCAGCCCTGAGCCAGCTCTCTATCTGCTCTGGGGGCTGAAAGGCAGGCAATGGAGTGTACAGGCACGCTGAGTGTGTGTAAGGGTTTTGACGGTTCCTCCACCTTCAGAGCCCATGCAAAGCTTGTCTCCTTGTGCTGAGAGAGGGCAGCCCATGAACAGGGCAGCAGAGTCACAGTGCCTCAGCTAAAGCGTCCTCTTGGCAGGCAGAGAGACTCAGATCAGAGAGGCTGGGACACTTGCCTGTGACCACACGGCAGCTGAGCAACCCAATAAGGACTTAGATCCCAGAGTCCCTGGGTTCTAGGCAGGACAGCTCCTAAATGAAAGGAGATGAGTATCCATACCACCCAGTTACAATTGGGTACGTGTTCCAGACCATGAAGAAGCAAAGGGTACTAATTTTTTTTTTCACTTCTTAAAACTATTTTAATATCCTCTCCTCCCCACCTCCCCACCAAATTGGGGAAGGCCAAAACAGTCTGGGTGGGTTTAATTACCAGTTGATGCACATTTTTTGTCATTGTTTAAAGTAAATCGACATTGTGGCAATAAGGGATTATCCTTGGAAAAAGTGAAACCCATATTAACAAAGTATGTCATGGAAGAACTCCGCTTGGTGATTTCACTGGCTACTTACACGTCTAGAAAAGGTCACCATTCTGCCTGTTCCCTGGGGCTTATCCATGCTATGGAATGAGGCCTTGCCCACAGGCCTTGCCCACACTGAACCAAGTCCTGAACCCAATACAAGCATACATGTCAGATACTCAGTATGTAGAATGAGCAAGACCCCCTTCCCTACAGGGGGCCCACCGTCTGGTGCAAGAGAGCAGAGTCCCCCCTCTTCACCCGGGTTCCTCTCCCTGTGAAAAGAGGGACATGGGGTTGGGCAAGATCACAGCCTCCTGCTTCCTTTCCATCTGTTGAGGAGAATGGGGCAGCTTGTTACTGATGACCATCCTTGTGCCAAAGCCAGGGGCCGATCAGCCTTTTCTACGTCCATCCCAGGGGATGGGGAGCGGCTGCACTCATGTCGTCACTTTCCCTCTCTTGCCTTCCCTTTCCCTCTCTTGCCTTCCCAGAGGCTTGCTGGGTGGGGGCTTCGGGGATGGGGGTGGCATTGCTGCAGGCATTGGACAGAACCCCCAAGTTGTCTGGTCTGATGACTGGGGG